TTCTTCTCTCGGGATCTTGGGCACGCACGCACACGCGCCCGGCGTGAGTTTTAAGTCACCGGGTCCGGGACACGAACCGCGGTCGACCACGTGGGAGTCCAGCGAAAAAGTTTTCATTTTTTAACACAGTGTATTACAATGTTCAGAAGAAAATAAGGGCTCCATTTTATTAGAGTAGTAACTTTTTTTTTTTTTGAGAGTTTTTTTGCTATTGGGTACGTGCACTCACGAGAAAGACAGAGAGAGGCAGAGAGACAGAGAGACAGAAAGTGAGAAATCACCCCCCAGGGGGGATGGCCACGACGCAATCCCTTCTCCTACATTCTCCCCTCGGGATCTTGGTCACACACACACGTGTTAGTCTAGCATGAGTTTAAGCCACCAGGTCCAGGATTCGAACTGCGGTTGACTATGTGGGAGTCCAGCAAGATAACCATTACACCAATTGCTGGTCCCTAGATTAGTACCTTTAAAAGTCCTGTGACTTTCCTAAAAATAACTGATCTAAATTTTTTTTTTTGAGAGATTTTCACTGTAGGGCGTGTGCGCTCGCCAGACAGAGAGAGACATAGAGACAGAAAGCGAGAAATCACCCCCCAGGGGGGATGGTCACGCCGCAATCCCTTCTCCTCCATTCTCCTCTCGGGATCTTGGGCACGCACACACACGCACCCGGCGTGAGTTTTAAGCCACCGGGTCCAGGACACGAACCGCGGTCGACTACGTGGGAGTCCAGCGACATAGCCATTACGCTAACTGCTGGTTCCCTAAATTTTGATCAAATATTTGTTGAAAAAAAGGAGGGAAACATGTACAAAAGTATATTGGATGATCGTTTCTGCATTAAAAAAAAACATTTCCAACCACCCAATATAATAAGTATCTACTGAGTAAATGAAAAATAAATGTGTTAAGCTCATAAACAGTTCAAAATTGCTAATTCAAATTATAAAATTCAAAATAAAAAGAAGGAACAATACTCTCCTGTCGCCGTATTGAACCTCATCATGAACTGTTCTGAATACATTCTATAGTTTTCCCTCGGCTATCATATATAAAACTCAAATATAAAATCTGGTTGTAACCCACATTTATGGTAGTGTTCAACTTCTCTCTCATCACCCAAAGGCTGCTTGCTATTTTAGGTACAGATAGAGCACTTCCACATTTTTCTCACTCTAACATTTATTAGATGAGTGAGCTAGAACAAATTTCTTAAACTTAGGTTTTTCCTTAAAAAGAGTATTAAAAATAACACCTATAATGTAGGATTGTCATGAGAATTGAATTAGTTAATATAGGTAATGCAATTAGAAAAATGTCTAGCATGAGATAAATGTTCAATGAATATCACCTATTATTTTTATTAGTTTCAATTGTTGTTTTCACTTCCTGGTGTGTTGTTTCTCAATCTCTGTAAACTTCAAGTCATCTTTAAGATCTAATACATAACAAGAAGACAAACAAACCAATAAAAAAATGGACAGAAGATTTGAATAGACGTTTCACTAAAGCAGAAATAGAAATGGCTGAGAGGATCGTGAAAAGATAATCGACATCACCAGTCATTAGGGAAAGGCAAATCAAAACCGCAATGAGATACTATTGCACACCCAGCAGTACAAATGCTGGTGAGGAGGTAGAGAAAAGAGAACCTTCACTTAATGCTGGTGAAAACGTTAAATGGTTTAGCCACTGTGGGAAAAACCTTTGGCAGTTTTCTAAAAAGTTAAACATAAATTTATCATATCATCCAGCAACCCAAGGTAAATGAATATATGTTCACATAAAGATTGGCACACACAGAATTATTCATAAAAGTCAAAAGTAGGAAAAACATATCCACCAACTGATGAGTAAACAAAACACAGTTATGTTCATATAATTAAATATTAATTAGTTATAAAAACGAACACACTTATTAATATTATCACATTATACAACCTGGATTACCCTCAAAAACATTAATGTAAGTGAGAGAAGCACATGAGACTACACATTATATGATTCAACTTATATGAAATGCCTAGAAAAGGCAAATCTGTAGATACTGAGTTGTTGGAAAAGTCATGATGTGTGTTTGCAAAGAAAGGCATAGGAGAAAAAGTCATGACTTTTCTGACAGCCCAACAGTAAGTGGCTGTCTGTGGCAGGAGCAGAAGAGGATTAATAGCAACTAGGCACTGGGGTCATGAAAATGTATTAAACTTATTTAGGATGAAGATTGCGCAATTTGATAAATTTATTAAAAAACATTAAATACACTTGAAAAGGGTGAATTATACATGCAAATATAACTCCATAAAGTTGTAAAAAATACCGCACCATATCAGGATACACTGATGCTGTCAGACGCTAAGAGCACTCTATCACATACGTGTGGATGCCGCGCTGTATGTTGCTTATTTGTGTGCATGCCAGAGAGCTCATCTCGCTCTGAGCCGTAGTCTGGCATGTAGCAGCTACCATCAGCACCTAGCTGGGTGACTGGCACATACAGTAAGGGTTCATTTGTTGAACTGAAATATGCTTCAAAACAGCAAAGTCAGGAATGTAACTGAAGATGGAGGCAATCCATCCTTCCTACATGTTGTAGCTTCACCGGGCAAGAAGACTGGGTTAATGGGCACTGACTGGTCCCCTCCTCTCTAAGACAGGCTTGGTGTTCCCAACTTCAAGAAGGCAGGAAAACAAATAAACAATGGTTTTATTCTCACAAGGAACAGTACTAGTCTATTCCAAGTGAAATAATTCAGTTTTGTTTTTTTTGCTACAGGGCACATGCACTCATGGAGTGGGGGCAGGGAAGAAGTGAGACATCCCTCCCCAGCGGGGATGGCCAGGCCATAATCCCTTTACCTCCATTCTCCTCTCAGGATTTGAGCATGCATGCACATTTACTCAGAGTGTTTTTCAAGCAGTCGGGTCCAGGACTCAAACTGTAGAACTAGTCACGTGGGATTTAGTGCCTTAACCAACATGCCGCCTGCTGGCCCAGAGATCTTACTCTTTATGGCAGTAAAAACACTTCATTTCCAACAGAACAAAATTTATTTTAATCCCCAAATATATTGTACTTAAGAACATTTTCAGAACCATCATTCTAAAGACCACTGTCTGCCATGGCAGACATAAGCATTTATCTTTTTCCCATTATGAAAAAAACTAATTGCTTCGCAAGTGCTGAATGTTTCTCAGAAAACAGAACAGCATAGTAGAAAGAACATTAATAGTGCAATCACAGCAGTAATGTGTCATTAATTCACTCTGTGACTTTGAACAAGGCTCTTTGCCTTTCTAGGCTTCACTTTCCCCTTTAAAAAAGTTGAAATTAGCTCTAAGGTTCTTCCCAGCACTCTTACTGAGAAAAAAATAAGGCGCTTCAGGTGAGAGAAAAATGAGGAGTCTGTCTTTTCACTATAAACAGGAAAGGAAATTCCTAATTCATAAGGTGAAACAGAATGCCAAAACTGTTGCTATTTCAGTGGCTCCTTATACACATACATGACTTTCACCCCAACGCCAGGTCCCACCCTTCATTAACATGCAAACCCACACATCCCAGCCCTCCCACCATTGGCCCAGACCCCCATATACCTCAGCTATGGTCATTCTCAGAGCACTGACAGGGGAGAGCTCAATATCCACCAGTTGGGCAGCTTTTAAACTCTGCCCAGTAAAGATGGCACAAGGACAGAAAACAGCATAGAGTTAGAATTTTAAGGCAAACGGACATGACAGCTAAAAACATTTGGCAGTGTTTAGAAACAAAAAAAAGATTTAGGGCTGTAGTTGGGCTTTGAAAAGTAAGATGAGAGTCACTGTTATTCTGATTCTTCTGTGGGAAATAGGCGAAGATAAAATAACCTCAGATTAGCCACAATTTTAAATCAAGCTTGACAAACTTGTCCATACCCTGTATCTTCTAATGCTCTACTTAATTCCTCCCAGACTTCAAAGAAGTCAAGTTACTTGACACTGTCACTCAGTCATTAATCAAAAGCTGACTGATAAAAAGGATACTACTGTACGAGGCAAGGGTTATTTTATTATTTTTTTAAAGAGATTTTTGCTATAGGCCGTGTGTGCTCACCAGAGATATAGAAAGTGAGAAATCACTCCCTGAGGGGGATGGCCATGCCTCAATCCCTTCTCCTTCATTCTCCTCTTGGGATTATGGGCACGTACACACACACACCTGGCGTGAGTTTTAAGCTGCCAGGTCCAGGACTCGAACCGGGGACAACTATGTGGGAGTCCAGCAACATAATCATTACACCATCTGTTGGTCCCGAGGCAAGAGTTATAGCCTAAAGGGAAATGCTGATTTCCTACATTTTTAAACAGAGCTACTAAAAGGGCTACTTAAAATGTAAGAAAAGTAATGGAGATGTCTCCATCAAAGATACTTCTATTAAGCTAATACATTTACAAGCTGGAACTATATCACAAACTCCACTGGTTCTAACTCTAAATTTACCAAGACCTTACGATTGTATTTGACTTCCTTCTTGTCTTGCTTACACTGAGAGAATGTGTTAGTAATGCCAACACGGGTCTTCTTATTTTGTAGAAGTTCAATTTCAATTTTGCATGTCACCCAATTAACATTTTGGCTCTTTTTTAATTGTCAGAGGGCATGTATGTTCACCAAAGAGAGACAGACAGACAAAAAAGGAAAATGTACCCTGCAATGGGATGTAATCACGTTGCAATCCCTTTTCCTTTATTTCTCCATCCGGTCAGGATTTTGAGCAGGCACACATGCCTGGCATGTCTATCAAGCTACTGAGTCTGGGCTTGAACTGTGATTGGCCATGTGGGAGCCGGCTCCCTTAACCATTAGGCTACATGGCCAGCCCACATTCAAAAATTCAAATAATGGTAAATATTCCTCATAGAGTAAATTCAAGGGTAAAAACTGTATGATTAAAGTCTGCTCTTTAACATTTGTCTATTTGGGGTTTATGTTAGTATTTTAACATTCTGAGAAATCTTATAGGAATTAGAAAAGGCCTGTAATTTTTATAAAGCCAATTAAAATATCTGCATATACATATTCATTATTCCATTGATTAATTCTATTCTGGTTTAAATTAGCCACTAGTTTCTCTAGAATGGTATAATATGAGGAATTTCGTGGACAGAAAGTGTAATTTATATTTAAATAATTTATTGAATTTTTTTCTTCTTCCCTTAGTTGCTTTCTGATTTTCAGTAACTTGTCTTATAATGTAACCTTATATCATAGAAAGTTATTAGCATAAAGATACAGGGTATGTAGGACACATTTTAGAAAGGAGAAATGTCATAGTTTGCCTGCATCCTTATAATTGTGTTATAAAGTTAATGAGAAACACTCAGCGTTTTCTCTGTCTTTTCCAAGGATAACAGTTATTTAAGCACAAACAAAGCTGCGCAACAAATGAAACAAAAACCTGGAACTCTCTTACAGTATCGCTGTCACAAGGCTGGAACTGGAAGGGCTGGGGTTTGTGAAATACAGCATTCTCTTGTAAAAACAGCTGGAGATTATAGTCCCTCACCACCTGAAGAGAAAAACAAAATATTTTTAAGCCTTTTATATGGTTAAGATGCCTTTTAATTACACTCTGAGGTTTATTCTGCTGTTTCCTATACAAATGAAAAATCACCCCAAACAATGTGGCTATAAAAAAGTGATGTTACTCATTTTATTTCTCATTTTAGTTGACAGTTGTTACTTTTGTGTTCTATTTTCTTAAGAATCTTAATTTGGAAAGTACTAGTGTAGAAACAAACCCAGAGTCATGTACTAGGCAAGACTATTCTAAGACAGTGAGAGGTTGGCTACACACATAAAGCTATTCTTGGAGGGGGGAGCATGCTCATGAGGAAGCACGTTGGTTTTTCTGATCTTTCCCGGGCCTAACATGTTACAGGCTTCTCAAAGTCTGCTTTATGGGGATTGCCATCTACCGGGAAACTGCAGATAACCCATCTATAGCAAGAAATCATATTTTTAGAGACTTGACACCCATTTTAAAGATATTACATTCTAATAATCATCTTAAAGCATACCAAGAAGACAGATTAGAAAGGACTTTATGTGGGAAAATTCCGATATACAGGAAAGAAGACACACGGCATAGAAAGTCTTGTGAAGAGAGCGCAATGCATTATGTACCTGGGAAAGGGTGAAAATAGGCAATGGTTTTTATTTTCCGCTGTAGAGCATGTATGCTTGTGGGAGAGACAGACAGAAAAAAGCAAGCAAAAAAGCACCCCTCCAAGGGGGTTGGTCATGCTGCAATCCCTTCTGTAATCTTCTCTTCAGGATTTTGGACACACATATGCATGAGTGCCCCAAGTGTTTTCCAAGCTGCTAGGTGTGGGACTTGAACTGTGGAGTCAGTCATGTGAGAGCCACAGTCTTCGCCATTTTTAAAAAAAAATTAAAATAAGTAATTCTTAAAAAGAAAAAAAAAAAGAAAGCTGCTAAGTCAACTAGGTGGTGTGGTGGTTTAGGTGGTGTGGTGGTTAAGGTGGCTGAATCCCATGGGCCATTGGGTGGTTTGAGTCGTGGACTTGGTGACTTGAAAAACAGGCTGGGCATGTGTGTGTGCATGCCCCCAAAATCCCAAGCAAATGGAGGAAAAGGGACTGTGGCATGGTCATCCCCCCCACCCCAGGTGGTGATTTCTCATTTCCTTTCTCTTTTTCTCTCTCCCATGTGTATACACACCCTGCAGCAAATAAGCAAGCAAGCAAGCTGCTATGAACATTCTTCCAAGTCTCCTGGTACACACGTGCAAGAGTTTCTCTAGGATACATTTCCAGGAGTGAATCTGTCAGGTCATTTATAAAGTAGGTACATCCTTTTTTTTTGGAGAGGTTTTTGCTATAAGGTGCGTGCGCTTGCCAGACAGACAGAGAGACAGAAAGCGAGAAATCACCCCCCAGGGGGAATGGCCACGCCGCAATCCCTTCTCCTCCATTCTCCTCTCAGGATCTTGGGCATGCACACACACACGCCCAGTGTGAGTTTAAGTCACCAGGTCTGGGGTGCGAACTGTGGTCAACTACATGGGAGTCCAGCGACATAGCCATTACGCTAACTGCTGGTCCCAAAGTAAGTACATCTTTAAATTGACTAGATAATGCCAACTGTTTTCAAACTGGATGGACCAATTCATACCCCCCCCAGGGTAGTGTATTAGTTTCTCTCACTAACACTCATTCCTGTCTATATTTTTTTTCAATCTCATACATGTAAAGTGGAATCTCATGATGGTGTAATTTTCCCTTTCATGATTATTAATAAGAAAAGGTATCAGTATTAGCTTGCTAGAGCATTCTCACCAGAGAATAGGGGGCTTAAACATAAGAAATGTATTTCTTCACAGTTCTAGAGGCTAGAAGATCAAAGACAAGGTGTAAGAAGGACGGGTTTCTTCTGAGGGCTATTCTCCTGGGCTTATAGTTGACAATCTTTTGTTGGTATCTTCATATGGTCTTTCCTCTGAGCCTACTGTGGTTTTTATTTTATTTTTTGTTTTGTTTTATTTTTGCCATAGGACATGTATGCTCACCAGAGAGATAGAATGAGAAAGCACCTCCAATGGGGGATGACTATGCCACAATCCTTTCCCCTTCATTCTCCTTTTGGGATCCTGGGCACACATGCACACATGCCCAGTGAGTTTTTCAAGCTGCCAGGTCCAGGGCTCAAACTGCTCAATCAGCAATGGGGGATCCAGACACCTTAACTACCATACCACCAGCTGCCCCCTATTTGTATTCTAATCTCTTCTCATAAGGACACCAGTCACAGGATTAGGATCCACTATACGATTCATTTTATTTGAATTATCTCTTTAAAGAACCTATCTCTATATACTGAGTACTAGGGGATGGAGCATGAACATACGAAACTGGAAGGACACAATTCAGCCCATAATATCTTTTTATGAGGAAATGGCTTTCATATTTTTTGTTCTGTGAGATGCATTTTGTACAATATATCAACAGTTACTTTCTCTTTATGGGTGAATAACATTTAACTGTATGAATATGCCGTATTACCATGTTTTACTTATCCAATCATCAGTCAATGGGCATCTGGGTTATTTCTAGTTTTTGGTTACTTGCAATAATGCTACTGTGAACATTTTTGTACAAGTTTTTCTTTCAACCCTTGTTTTAATATTCTTTGGTGCATGCCTAAGAGTAGAAGTGCTCGTCACATGGAAACTGTGTTTAATTTTTTGAGGAACTGTCAAACTGCTTTCCACAGTTGTGTATCATGACAGTCCCACCAACAATTCAACAAAACAAAAATGTTTGCTGATTTTTTTAATCATAAAAAGGTGTTACGTTTTGACAAATGCTTTTTCTATTGGAATGACCATGAGTTTTTCTTTCCCCTCCATTTTATCAAAATGAGTTTTTGGTTAAATATTAACAATGGTAACACTAGATCACTTAATTTCCAAAGAAATAAAGACTATCATTGTTTTGTCCTGAACTGTTAAAAAGCTACATTCATCTGTAGGTGTGTCCTTATGCAGACAGAAGGCATACACACATAAACAAACCATAAAAGCCAGCAGAGCTGTCTGTGGAGCTACTATCGTAGAGAAAAATATCTATGACAACATCTGCTTCAGTTACACATACAAAGTACTCCATAAAATATTAAGGAGAAAAGGAAGCTTCATAAATAATTAAAATTTAACAAAAGTTCCTCAGGCAAACTGCATCCATTTACGGGATGAAAGACACAAAGATCACCTTCACATTTAGTCTACCAGTCTGAATTACCCTCAAATATCTTTGAGAATATTACACATCTTAGTATGTAAAAATGTATTTTCTCTCCAAAAGGCAAAGTGATAAATGTGTAAAATAAAAAAACAGCTTAACACTTTTCTTCTCAAATCATGAGGATGCTTTCAGCATGAGCACTATAATAAGCTCTTTGAAACAGAAAAGCACGTGATGTTAAACTTGTAGGTGTGAGTCTTCTGGTACTTGAACAATAGGACACATCTTCTAGATCCGTTCTTATTAAATTTTTATTCCTACCACTTTCACTTTAAACATAAGAGCATCTCATTTATTTATTCCTCTTCCTTGGTGAGTGAGATACTCATATGAATAAATGCAGAAAATGAAAGCTTATCTCTTCATGCGGCTAAACTAGTTCATAAATTCTTAATTCATTTTCTATTAAAATAATGCAAGCTGAAGAGATAATACAGTAAAAGAGCATGAGAAGCACTATGTGTGCATGACCTCAGAAAAATCACATAAACTTCCTGAGTCCATTTCCTTCTCTATAAAATGAAGAGGGTAATAACAACCCCTTGGCATTCAAGATATAAGATATGCTAAAAACTTCTAGGGGATTAAGTGTGTGCAAAATATTGGCTATCTGTATACCTACATGTGTACCTGCTTTATAAACTAAGTGTATTCAATCTAACTTATCTTTTCCATAAATAAAAATAAATTTTGAAGAATTGTGTTATAGGATAAGCTCTCTGATAAAATTAGAATTAAAATAATATACAGTTTCTAATAAACTTAGAAACAAAGGGGCCGGCAAGTGGCATGGTAGTGAAGGGCCCTGGACTAACACTGGACCGATTCCGGTTTGAGTCCTGAGCCTGGTGGCTTGCACACTCTCTCTCTCACTCACTCTGTCCCTCTCTGGTCAAATTAAAATTAAAATAAATAACAAAGTTAAATAAAAAATAATTATTTAAAAAATAAAATTAGAAACAAAAATATCACCCTACATTTTCTTCTGCATAACTTATTACCCTTCTATCCATTCATCCTTCCTTTTACACATTTATGCTTTGGTCTGTTTTAGTGAAATCCAGGGATAAAAATATAGGAAAATAGATACATGACAGGAACTCAAAGCTCCAGGTTAATGATCCTTATATTTCCCTAACAACCTAGCATTCTTAATGTTTTTTCTTTTTTTCTTTAAAGAATTTCATTTAACTTATTTATTCATTTGTTTATTTTTATTTGACCAGAGAGGGACAGGGTGAGAGAGAGAAGAGAGAGAAAAGGGGAGAGGGAGAGAAAGTAAAAAAGCAAGCTGTCAGGTCTGGGACTTGAACCATGGTTGACCATGTGGGAATTCAGCAACTTTAACCACCACGCCACCTACCGGACCCTTAATGTTTTTCCTAAAAATAGAATTGGAAGCTCCAGTGCAATGAAAACAAGAATATTTACAAAGTAATATGTCACTTGGTGACAAGGGAAATATTCTCAGAAATATGACCTTAGGCGATTGTACCACTGTGTAAACATGACAGAGTGCACTTATATACTCAGAGGGTGTAGCCTGCTATATACCTAGGCTATGTACTCCTTCTGTGACCGTTGTCACATCTGGGACCCACTGTTGACCAAAATGGCAGTATATGGCCATGAAGGAGGCATTCAGGATGAAGACTCTGTGCTCATTTTGCCCTCGGTGCTACCTTTACCAACTCACCAACAGAGAAAAGGACATCCTAACATCTTGTTAGAAAGAATGCTGTGTGCGGCAAATGTGTCATTGAAAGCATTCTTCTAATATCACTGGTTCCTTCATTTTGTCTAAACGCAAAAATATTTTCGATTCTAAAATGAGTGGTACCACATACTACGCTAAAGTAACTTACCTTGGTGGAGTTTTCTAATAAAAACTGGAATGTGTTCTGCACAGCTTGGCATGTTTCTAGCTCAGTCCGGCTGAAGGCTATTAAATAATCCTTGAGGTGATCATATACATTTCCATCAAGAGCCTGTAAAAGAGAAGTAAACGAAAGCAAATGAATTATGATAACACATTAGGAAGGAATAGGTAGACAAAAAGGACAGAATATTATGTGAGAATAAATATACAGTCAACAATCACACTAGAAAATGTTGAATCTCTTTATTAAACAGGAAGCAAAAAGATAAAATGCAATATTGTTAAAACTGTGAGGAAATAGGGCACAACTTGGGAAAAGAATGCCTGGTTCTAATCTTTGTTCATCTGTTTATTTGCTTCTGCAGTCCCTTTACGACAGAGCAGGTGCAGAAGCTGAGTGTAACAATGAACTAGGCACAGAGAGAATCTAGGCACAGTTCTGAGTAGATACTCAATAAACATTAATCTCCTCAATTTTTCTTTATCCATTATTTGTAGGATTACACAAGGGATGGTCTTTACAAAGTTCATAGAAAATGCATAGTATAAAAAACTATTGGGTTGTGGGACCAGCAGTTAGCGTAATGGCTATGCCGCTGGACTCCCATGTAGTCGACCGCGGTTTGGGTCCTGGACCCGGTGGCTTAAAACTCAAGCCGGGCATGTGTGCGTGCGTGCCCAAAATCCCAAGAGGTGAATGGAGGAGAAGGGAATGCGGCATGGCCACCCCCCGGGGGGTGATTTCTTGCTTTCTGTCTCTCTGTCTCTGTCTGTCTGGCAAGTGCACGCACCCTATAGCAAAAACCTCTCAAAACAAAACAAAACAAAACAAAACTATTGGGTTGTTGGAAAAGTTAGGACATATTTTTCTATGCAAAAACGTATCATGACTTTTTCAATGATGATATGTATGGATTTCAAAATTCTTTTGCACCAACATAAGCTCATACTTGAAAATCACGACGGGGGTGTGTGTGTGTGTGTGTGTGTGCATGCCCAGAATCCCAACAGAAGACTGGAGGAGAAGGGACTGTGGTGTGGCACAGGGGGTGATTTCTCACCTTCCCTCTCTGTTTCTCTGGTGAGTGTGCGTGCCCTATGGCATAAACCTTAAAAAATAAAAATAAAATACAATACTCTAATCCCATTTTTCCATGAATTTTCTGAAGTACCCTCATAAGTTAGTATATATTTACTGAAAATTAGCCAGAAAAAAACCACAATAGAAATATTTTTAAAGAATGATGAAGATCGAGATCAGCAGATGGTGTAATGGTTACGTTGATGGACTCCCATGTATTCACCCGCAGTTCGAGTACTGGACCCAGTGGCTTAAAACTCACACCAGGCAGGAGTGTGTGCATGCCCAAGATCCTGAGAGGAGAGTAGAGGAGCAGGGATTGCGGTGTGGCAATCCTCCCTGGAGGGTGATTTCTTGCTTTTTGTGTCTCTGTCTCTCCAGTGAGCGCATGTGCCTTATAGCAAAAATCTCTCTTAAAAAAATGAAGATCTTGTTTTGGGGAAGAAACACAAAAGCAGTATCTATGAAGGGCTTAAAACATTCTTATTTGTTTAAACATTTATAGCAGGACTTACTGAAAGTAAATAAAGAGGAGAAAACCACCAAACATTTTAGGAATGATTAAGCTAAGATGTGTATAGTCACTAACTATATATAACTAAATATAACTATATATAACTATATATCTATATATTCACCAAAATAAAATTGTGGAAACTGTATAGATGAAAAGTATGTACCAAATAATTTTAGCTTAAGAAAGGCAGGAAAAACAGAATATATATTATATACACACACACACACACACACACACACACACACACACAAGCAACAACAAGGGAAATATATCTGTAGTACTAACAAGAACGTCTTGAAGTCTTGCCAACCAATTGAAATAAAACTCAGTCAATACAAAAGTCACTGCTTTAACAACTTCAAAGTACAAAATATGTGGCTTTTAATATTCACAATACTCTACAAGTATCACCACAATCTAATTCCAGAACATCTTCATCTCCTCTTCCCCCTCAAAATCAAGGGAAATATATCTGTAATACTAACAAGAACGTCTTGAAGTCTTGCCAACCAATTGAAATAAAACTCAGTCAATACAAAAGTCACTGCTTTAACAACTTCAAAGTACAAAATATGTGGCTTTTAATATTCACAATACTCTACAAGTATCACCACAATCTAATTCCAGAACATCTTCATCTCCTCTTCCCCCTCAAAATACCCCATATCCAGTAAGCACTCATGCCCCACCCTCCTTTCAAGCCCTGGGAACCACTAATCTGCTTTCTTCCTCTACAGATTTGTCAGTTCTATCTCATATAAATGGAATCGCATACTATGTGGCATTTTGTGCCCATCACTTGGCATCATGTTTTAAGGTTCATCCATGTAATAGTACTTCACTCCTTTTTATGGCTGATAATATAATATTCCATCTGGTTTATCCACTTATCAGTTGATGGAAATTTGTTTTCTTCTCACTTTGTGGCTATTATGAGTAATGCAGCTATGAACAATTGTGTCCAAGTTTTTGTTTCAACATGTGTTTGCAGTTCTTCTGGGAATACACCTAGGAATGGAATTGCTGGTAACTGTCTATGTGAGGAACTGTCCTCCTGTTTTTCCATAGCAGCTGCCCCATTTTACCTCTCACCAGCTGTGTACGAGGGCTCCGCTTTCTGCATCCTTGCCAACCCTGTTTTCTGTTTTTAGGTGTTTTGACTTGCTTTTTAAATGATTAAAGCCATCTTAATGGGTGAGAAGTGGTATCTCACATTAGTTCTGATTTACATTCCTCTAATGACAAATGTTAAGCACCTTTTTATGTGCTTAATGGTCATTTATGTATGTTCTCTGAAATGTTTATTTAAGTCCTTGACTCAATTTTTCTAAGTTTATTGATTTAGTTCTTCCATGAGAGAAAGAGACAGAAAAAAGAGAGACAGGCACTCCCAACAGGGTCTTCATGCCATGGATCCTACTCTCAGCCTCAGTCAGGCAGAAGCATGGGACCAGGGAGATCTCAGGACATGAACATGGGACCTCCCATTCGGCCTCAGTACCATAGAGAATCGTGTTACTGCACCACTGTGGCTGGCTGGTGGCTCATCTTCTCATTGAGTTGTCTTTTTGTTGCTGAGTTATACACAGTCTTTTTATATTGTGCAAATGAGACTCTTACAAGGTATGATTTGCAAAAATTTTCTCCTTTATGGGCTGACTTTATATTTTCCTGATAGTGTCCTTCGATGAACAAAAGTTTTATAAATAAGTATTTTAAATTTGCTATAGGGTGGGTGCACTTGCCTTAGACTGGGGTGAGGAGGGCAGTGAGAAAGCATCTACAAGAGGGGATAGCCATGCCACAATCTTTTCCATTCTCCTTTCAGAATTTTGAGCATGTACATACATGGGCCCGTGTTTTTCAGGCTGTCAGGTCTAGGACTTGGGCCATGCTGTTGGCCATGTGGGATCCAGCTGCCTTGACCACCCCACCCCAGCTGGCCAGAGTGTTACATTGTGATGCAATCTAACTAAGCTAATTTTTTCTTATGTTGCTTATATTTATGCTGTATCTAAGAATCTTCAGTGGAGGTCATGTATTATAATTTTTTTTTGTTATCTTATGTTTGTTATCACGATTTTACTATAAAACTGATTTTTAAAAAATACACAAATTCTGGGACCAGCAGTTAGTGTAATGGCTATGTCGCTGGACTCCCATGTAGTTGACCGCGGTTCGCGTCCCGGACCCGGTGGCTTAAAACTCACGCTGGGAGCGTGTGCGTGCGTGCCCAAGATCCCGAGAGGAGAATGGAGGAGAAGGGATTGCGGCGTGACCATCCCCCTGGGGGGTGATTTCTCGCTTTCTGTCTGTCTGTCTGTCTCTGTCTATCTGGCGAGCGCACGTGCCCTATGGCAAAAACCTCTAAAAAAAAAAACCTCATGTCGGATGCATGTGCGTTCCTGCCGAGAATCCCAGGAGGAGAACGGAGAAGGGACTGCAGTGTGGTCATCCCCCCAGGTGATTTCTCACTTTATCTGTCTCTCCAGCAACTGCACAAGTCCAATAGCAAAAAATCTCTCTTAAAAACAAAAACAAGGGACCAAACAATTGGCATAATGGCTATGTCATTGGACTTCCATGTAGTCGACTGCGGTTTGAGTCCTGGACCTGGTGTCTTAAACTCATACCAGCTGCATGTGAGTGTGTGCCCAAGATCCTGAGAGGAGACTGAAGGAGAAGGGATTGTGGCGTGACCATCCCCCTGGGGGGTGATTTCTCGCTTTCTGTCTCTCTGTCTCTCTCTGTCTTTCTGGCGAGTGCATGCACCCTATAGCAAAAACTTCTCCAAAAAATAATAATAATAAGTGATATATAAGTAATAAGTGAAAAGGCAGAGAAGGAAGTGTTCAGAACATGATGTCCATACTCAAGGGTTTTGTTTGTCTTGTCTTTCCCTTTATTTACGATAGAGTGTATGAGTGCACACAAGAGAGAAACACTCGGCAGGATCTAGTCACACCACGATCCCATTCTTGCAGTCCTTCTCTTGTCAGAATCATGGACATCCATGTACACACCTGGCATGTTTCAGGCCAACCAGTCTGGGAATCTCCGCCGCGGTTGCAGTGTGGCTTCTGGCACTGCAATTTAATATATATGTATCCTGAGATGCAAACACAGGCCTTTTAATAAGGCCTGGCTGCATTAGTGCTGCGCTATCACCTATCACTGAATTTCAACGACCACCTCTGTGAGTTCGTGGTACCCCTAAATCTGCTCATGTACCAGGTTTTTCTGGTGGGAGAGAATAAGAAAACAGGAGTTCATCTAGGCTGGATAAATTACTGTGAGTGTGTACAGACTTAAGGCAGGAGGTAGGAAATTAAGAAATGGTTGGAATTCAAAGCACAGGAAGTGGACGACCCTATGGCTGGCTCCAACTCTCTGCCTTAAGTTAACTGCTACTGTTTGAACAAAAATGGCCCCCAGAGATAAAGCTCAGAGCATTCTGGGTAGTACTGTCTCAACACGGTTTGTGACTAGAAGGCAGACTGCACGAATATTG